GGAGGCTCCAGTCAGGCAATGAGGGCTGCACCCCATGACAATTAGTATCACTGATCTTATCTTAGATACTTTTTTAAAAAATAGGGAGTTAACTTGCTAACTAACTGGTGTGTTACAAGCTGTTTTTGCTGCACGTTTATTTGAATTGTGTTTAAGAAGAGAGCATTTGAAAGCTAGTATAGAGAGGACCTTAAACGAAATTGAACTATGTTGCAGGAGAGTCTACTGCTTCCATATTTTCAGCCTGATTTTGCAAACCCAAAAGATTTAAGCAATTTGGATAAGCTTCAAGCAAGCTTATAAACTTCTGGGTACTTATCTGAATTTAGCATTTTTAGTTTTACTACCTCTTTTACACCCCTGATCTTTTCGAATGTTGGGCCTTTTTAAATTGTCTCAAACTAGGTGCTCCAAAAAATGAAGAACCTAAAACCACAAGTAATTTTATAAAATCTTGACCTTTATTTTTAATGGAAATTTATGTGGTTGAATCTGTCATCTTACAGTTTTGACAAGGGGAATCAATGGTAAAGAGTGACCTGACACTGTTCAGATATCATCTCACCATAATTTGTTTTTCTATTCTGAATAAGGAAATTAAAAGCTCAAGACAAATTATTATTATTATTATTATTCAGCATCATTATAGAAAAGTCTCCTTTTTTAAAGAACTATCCCAAACTCTGTGTAGAAGTGAGCACCTTTATATGTACATAGAAAAACTGAAACAAAGCCATTTTTGTATAAACTGTTATTCTTCCAGATTCAAAATTTATATGCTGTTCTTGCATCAAGGGATGTAGTCTGCCTGGATTTGCCTATGTTAACTTGTCTCATTCCTGAACTTGGTTTGTCCCTATCATCTCAGGTGGCCTGCAACAGCTGACTTACATATTAGGAATACCCTCAAGGAGTTTTTCAGGCTGAGTGGTAGAACTTTGTACTGGAAAATTGTTTCTCTACCCCTGAATGTCAGGAATTTTTGTGTGTGCATGCTCATATGGAAACTTGCCTCCTTCAGCTCTGTTGATGCAAGCCAGTATCCTCCCTGGTGTCTGTGGCTTGCTGAAGTGTGAATATCTATGAATATTCTTTGGTGATATTTAAACTCCTCAGGTCTGAAACAGTCTCAGGCTTTTCATTCCGATTGGAAAAAAAATTCTACATTCAATTTTCCTACAGCTTTCTTTTCAGCGAGTGCTCATAATACCATGAAGAACGAGGATTTTGCTGCTTTGTATGAAAGAGCCTGAGAGAAAGAGAGAGAGAGTATTGAAGTTATAAGAATGTGCCTATCATGATCTTTATGTGCCTTGTGTAAAAATAGCACTAAGACTACATGATAAATGCATTCATCTTTTGAACCAATGTCAGCTAATGTCATCCCTGAACTTAGTGGCAGTTGGTTTGTTAGCATGATAATGTGTCACCAGGTTGAGAGGGGTCAGGGCCAGCTCCAGGCACCAGCGCAGCAAGCAGGTGCTTGGTGTGGCATGTCCGGCTCATCGGCAGCAATTCGGCGGTGGGCCCCTCAGTCCCTCTCGGAGGGAAAGACCTGCTGCCAAATTGCCGCCGAAGAATGAAGCGGTGGAAGGAGAGCTGAAGTGCCGCCGATCGCGGCTTTTTAAAAAAAATTTCCACCGCTTTGGGAGGCAAAAACACTGGAGCCAGCCCTGGGAGGGGTGAATAAAATAAGGGGATGTGGGTGGGGAGTACTGTTGAATCTGTTGGAGGGTGTTATGTTTTCGATGGACTGACTTTGTAAATAAATTGTTGCTATGTGTGCATCTGGAGAGGAAGTGCAAGGGGCCCACTTCATCATCATCATCATCATCATTTATTTCATGTATTAAAGACTGTCAGTTTGCTTGGCACTGTACACAGTCCCTTAAGGTACCTGCAGTCAGATTAGGTTCAAACAGAAGCATTAAGAAATAGATAATGGCCACAGTTTTCAAAAGTGACTGGCGATTTTTGGTGTCCAACTTGAGTCAGCTTAAAGGGGCCTGATTTTCAGAAAGTGATGGGCACCTACCCTCTGAAAATCAGGCTCCTTTTAAGTGTCTTGAGTTGGGCCCTAAAAGCACTATTCATTTCAGAAAATCTTGGCTTAAACATTTAAATATAGTGACTCTACTAGCACAATAGTCACTTGACAGTTAAGATATACTATTTAATATCCTTTTGCCATTGAAATCCAAACAAAAAATTTTGTTTTAACCTCTCACAAAGATAAATCGAACTGAAAATTGCTAGGAGTCCTGGGAATGTAATATGTATGATCACAGAGCATGAGAGGCTGGCGGGCAGGGGACGGCACATCTTTGAAAGAGAAAACGTCTTATACTGGGGCAAGTGGAGAAGGAAAAGGAATACAAGTCTGAGTACTTTCGCTAGTACCATCAACTTACAGTTCATATGATCGTCCAAAATTCTAAACTTAAATCCATTCTGTTTCCTCTAAACATCAATATTTACAGTCAGCGGCTCCCATTTTCAAATAACATGACGCACTGAACCGCAAGTTGCAATTATTCCCGAACAAGCAGCGTCAGCTTCTAGCAGCATGACCCAAGAACAGCAGCTCTCACAGGAAATATTTCAGGACATCTCCAAAGGGTGGAGGGGGGAGGGGCAGAGGAGTTAAAACACACACACACCCCAAAAAAAACTAATTTATTTTCATCAGGGTTAATTTGAAGAGAGTGGTTTTCTACAGGCTTCTGAAATCTGAGTGCATTCTTACCATTAGCTCACTGCACTTCCAGTGACCCTCCTAATCTCTCATGTGGAGATTATTAGTGAATATTAAGGAAATAAGTATGTTTTGGAGAATAAAGGACTTAAAGGAGCATTTTCAATTTGTTCAGGCCACAACATCTTTTCCTTTCAGGAAGGTAAATGGCATGCTACATCCCTGGAAGGATGGGACAATGTAAGAAAAGCTTTTTGAGACTTTGAGGTGCCTATTACCCTCCAATCTCTCTCACGATTTTTCACACTTGCTATCTGGTCGCCCTATTTTAAGAGTGTAGAAAAATCAAATTCCCATTAATAACTTGTTCCTTTTGTTTTAGACCTCCAAGTATGATTTAGGACATCACTTCCTGTCAAACGTTCCGTCCCAGCCCCCAATGAATTTTTTCCAGCAGGTTCAATTGTTAGGTTTTTTTTTCTGTTCTTCAACCAGACGACAGCTTCACAAACAATGGTTTGTGAACCATTAAGGTTTGTGAACCGATGCAGCTGGGAGCATGCTTCCCAGACTAGATAGAAAGACACGCTAACTCTGCACGAGCTAGTGCACTAAAAATAGCAGTGTGAATGTTACAGCACGTTGGGCTAGCCACCAGGCGGTCGGGTGAACAGGCATGCAACTTGGGTGGCAAGCCCAGGCTGCTATTTTGAGCATGCTAGCTCAAGCAAAGCTAGAGTCAGTCTGTCTACCTGGGGGGCTGGTAGGCACAATCCCAACCGCAGTGTGGACATAGATCTGCAGCGATCTGTAGATCCCTTCCTGTTGTTCCTCAGAATGAATGAAATGTTTTGAAATCTCAAACTGGGTAGGATGGTGGTGCTTGGGAAGAGTGCTGAATCTGTATGCAGGGTGAAAAAGCTGAAGAACATCTGAGTGTTCTTGGGTGTTCTCTTCTCTCTGTAAATAAAAACAGTTTGGATTAATACACACAGCAATACATGTTCTTATTGGGAATACAGTGCAGTATTTGTTCTCATTGTTCTTTTAGGATTGCGTCTGACTTGGATTCAACTTGTATCCAACTGGGTTCAAACTATAGCGTATTTCTTTACCATATTAGCCAGGCTAATTTGTAAGAATTTATTTCATCAGTGTATGCCTCAGCATCATGTAGCATTCATTTCAAATAAAAGAATTTTCAAATATTGAAACCTTATATTGTTTTTATACTATGACTGTGATTGTCTTAAATAATCAACAACTCTTTTTCACCCCTAGCCTTTTAGATCATAGATGGTATCTTTAACCAAAACAAATCATTCCGTTTCAGAAAAGATAATAAATACACACTCGTATTATGCATCTGTTTTATACAGAATTATTTCAGCTTGTTAAACTAAACACGCAATGTTTTGAAATGGAGATTTCTCTGGATGAAATGGCTTGTGTCTTAAAATTTGATGGATGAATTCTTTTTATCAAACCATGTATTTTAAATGTCTATTGATGCAATTTCCTGATATGTTTCATAACAATGAACTGAGAAGGAAATTATATTTTCCTATAACTCACTTCATAGTTATTGGTGCCATTCTATTTATTTTATCCACTAACTAAAAGAACTAAAAGCCAAAGAAATCCAGTCTTTTATTGTGATATATTTCTGTACATACTAAAATATGGTTTAAATTAGCATCAGAACATCAAGTTATATATGGTGGAACTAATGTGAAACATTCAGAATATATGCAGTATGGTGGAAAGATTTAAAAACATGAGTTTGTAGCAACATTGTATTACCAAAAAAAAAAGTATCTGAAGACTGGGGTCAGATCCTAAGCTGATGTAAATTGGTATGGCACTGTTGACTTTAATGGAGTTACACTGATTTATACCCTAAATCAAGATAACCATAATAAAAGCAGTTCTAAGAGCCACAACCAGAAAAACTATCCAGGTGCGCATTAAAGTACATGCTTTGCACCAGATACACCTCTACCCCGATATAACGCTGTCCCTGGGAGACAAAAAATCTTACCACGTTATAGGTGAAACTGTGTTATATCGAACTTGCTTTGATCCGCTGGAGCGCGCAGCCCCGCCCCCCTGGAGCGCTGCTTTACCACGTTATATCCGAATTCGCGTTATATCGGAGTAGAGGTGTATTCACCTGTTGTTAAACAGCATAGCTCCATGGACTTTAATAGAGCTATGCTGATTTACATTATCTGAGGCTCTGGCCCATAATATTGTAAATAAATATATTAATATATAAAATGAATATGTTACATGTTTATTACAGGTGAAGTGTGATCAGTATTGGCCAAGCAGAGGGACAGAGACATATGGGCTGATCCAAGTGACCCTGCTAGACACTGTTGAATTGGCAACATACTGTGTTCGAACATTTGCACTTTACAAGGTACGTTTTCTGTGGTGTCCTCCCTGCTCCCACCATTTAAAGAAGGCTGCTTTGCAGAAATCAGATCTCTCAAGGATTTACTTAAATCTTGATCCTGTTGGCAACACTGAAGAATAAAACAGTTCTTCTGTTATCACAGTGCATTTTTCTCCCAGGCTGGCAGTTCATCGGTAAATATGGAGCTCTGACTGTGAAGAACGGTTTAATTGAATGAAGAATTAGCTGAAGCACAGGCAGTTGTTGCTGTGTGCTATACAGTATAACTAAAACCCTCATGTCACTTGAACCACAAAACCAGCAATTTAGAATAGTTGTAATATTTTCTCCTATAGCAGGAGTTCGCTTTCTCTCTGTTCCCACAGAGGTTTAGCTGGTTTTCATCATTATATGCAGTTATGCCATCACTTCATTCCATAGTGCTGCCATAGCATTAGATAGCAGTTATTTCGTTAAAATTTTTGATTTGATAGAATGGTTCAAGTGAGAAAAGAGAAGTGCGGCAATTCCAGTTCACTGCCTGGCCTGACCATGGAGTTCCAGAACATCCTACACCATTCCTAGCTTTCCTACGACGAGTCAAAACTTGTAACCCTCCTGATGCTGGACCTATGGTGGTGCATTGCAGGTAGGCACATACTTTACTTCAAAGCATCTCAAAATATCACACTGAAATTGTTTTTATGATTAATGCCCTGTGTTTTAAAGTATATGAATAATATCCTTTGTGCTTCTGGGGTTTCTTCTGTATTGGGATTGTATCCTGGCCATGCTATGAAAGGGCTTGGTCTCAATGACCTGTGGGTTTTTTGCATCTTGTGACATTCTATAATTGTAACATGAAATGTTGGCTATTTGGCAACATACTTATGGGCAGGTAAATGGCAAATTAGGAATTCAGTGCAAAATTGCCAAATTTGATGGATGCAGAGAAGGATTTTTGGTTTGTGCATTGGGAGCTCATTTTAGAATACATGGAATCTGTGCAAGTAGAATATACTATTTATTAGTAGAAGTCTGTAAGCAGAGAGTGTAGACAGGATAGTTAACACACAGGTATATTCGGAAATCACTGGAGAAAAAGAAGCAGTGTAGTGTTTGCTCTTAGTTTAAAACGGTGTATTTTGGAGAAACTATGTTCTAGTATTTTTTGAGTAATAAAATATTTTTTTATGGTTTCTAATATTGCACATTAAAACAAATAGCATGAAATCTAGAGAAGATAAAAGGGAACTGCTATTAAGACTAAGAAAAGCCTGAATTTCAGACTCAAGTTTAGTCCTTCCCTTTAAAACGGAGATTGGATGGAAGCTCAGAGGGAGCATGAGGAATGCATTACCAGGGGTTGTGCTGGATTCTTTGTCACTGGTAATTTTTAAATCAAGATTGGATGCTTTTCTAAAAGAGGTGCTTTAGATCAAACAGGAATTAATGAAGGGAAGTCTTATGGCCTGTGTTATGCAGGAGGTCAGACTAGATGATCACAGGGTCCCTGAGGGCAATTATCAAATGACTCAACCCCTGTCATCCAATCCCAGCTTCTGGCAGTCAGAGCTTTAGGGACACCCAGATAGGGTGACCAGATGTCCCGATTTTATAGGGACAGTCCCGATTTTTGGGTCTTTTTCTTATATAGGCTCCTATTACCCCCACTCCCTGTCCTGTTTTTTTACATTTACTATCTGGTCACCCTACACCCAGAGCACAGAGTTGTGTCCCTGACCATCTTGGCTAATAGCCATTGATGGACCTACCCTCCATGAACTTGTCTAATTCTTTTTTGAACCCAGTTATACTTCTGGCCTTCACAACATCACCTGGCAACAAGTTACACAGATTGATTGTGTGTTGTTGTAGTAGTCTCAGCCGAGGTTCGGCCCTCAGTGGGGCTGTGGGGTATCCCACCACCTTGTTCTGGTCCGCTGTCAGTCCTGGTCCAGCGGTAGTGTGGGACAGCAAACACACGGTTAGGGGCTCAGGCCCTTAAGCAAGAGCTGAGCCAATAGGTCAGAAAAAGCCCTGGGCCCTCAATCAGGGCGGGGCAGCAACCACGCAGTCTGGAGCTCAGGCCCTCAAGCAGGGGCTGAGCCAATAGTTTGGGAACCCAGGCCCTTAAGCAGGGGCTGAGTCAATGTTTGTAGCAGCCCAGGCCCTAGGTCAGGGCGGGGCAGCAATCAAATAGTTAGTCAGGAACCCAGGCCCTTAAGCAGGGGCTGAATCAATGTTTGTAGCAGCCCAGCCTCTCTAGGCCAGGGGAAAAGGGGGAGTCTGCCACCCAAGGAGTGGGTGGCAGGGGGGACGCAGGCCCTCCCACTTCACTGCGTCCCAGCCCCGGGCCCTAGCAGCGGCGGAAACTCGCTGCTGTCAGTGGGGATCCTGGCCACAACACACTGACATAGGCTCTGGCAGTGCTGCAGCCAGACTGGGGTCGGCTGCCCCCAGGCTACTTCCACACTCCCCCTCGTAGGGTACCTGGGCCGTCCTAGTGTCCTCGGTGCTCTCCACCAGCATCGGTTCCTCTGGGTAGGTAGCGAAGGGCAGGTTCGGCTCCTCCTCGGGACAGCAGGAAAGGGGCAGGTTTGGCTCCTCCTCGGGATAGCTGGAAAGGGGCAGGCTCGCTCCTCCTCGGGATAGCAGGAAAGGGGCAGGTTTGGCTCCTCCTCGGGATAGCTGGAAAGGGGCAGGCTCGGCCCCTCCTCGGGATAGCAGGAAAGGGGCAGGCTCGGCTCCTCCTTGGGATAGCAGGAAAGGGGCAGGCTCGGCCCCTCCTCGGGATAGCAGGAAAGGGGCAGGTTCGGCTCCTCCTCGGGATAGCTGGAAAGGGGCAGGTTCGGCCCCTCCTCGGGATAGCAGGAAAGGGGCAGGCTTGGCCAGTCCTCCTCAGGGTAATGGGCGAGGGGTGGGCTCGGCTGGCCTGGCGACTCAGCAGGCCGGTCGCGGCCTGCTGCTGTCTCCCAAGTGGGAGCTCGGCCACAGACATCTGCTCTCTCCACCAGCTCGTTCTCCACTGAGCTCGGCAGGCGGGCTTTTATACTTCCGGGTCGGCGCTGTGACCTCTGAGGGGCGGGCGCCGGACCCGGTGGCTCCGCCCATGTTGGTGTTAGGGGAGGTTTGGCCCTCAGCGGGGCTGTGGGGTATCCCACCGCCTCGCTACAGTTGTGTGAAGCAATATTTCCTTATGTTGGTTTTAAACCTACTGCCTATTAATTTCACTGGGTGACCCCTGCTTGTATGATGGGGTTAATAACACTTCCCGATTTACTTTCTCCATACTATTCATGATTTTATAGGCCTCTGTCATATCCCCCCCCCCAGTTATCTCTCTTTTAAGCTGAACAGTCCGTCTTTTTTTTTTAAATCTCTCCTCATACAGAAGTAGTTCCAGACCCCTAATCATTTTTGTTGCCCTTCTCTGTAACTTTTCCAATTCTAATATAGCTTTTTAGTGATGTGGTGACCGGAACTGCATGCAGTATTCAAGGTGTGGGCATACCAGGGTTTGATACAATGGAGTTATGATATTTTCTGTCTTATTATCAATCCATTTCTTAATGGTTCCTAACATTCTGTTAGCTTTCTTAACTGCCGCTGCACATTGAGCAGATGTTTTCAGAGAACTATCCACGATGACGCCATGATCTATTTCATGAGTGGTAATTAGTTTCCCTGAAACTCTCCACTGGCTTCCTACCTTCCATTTCAGTTTCAAGTTTTTCATCCTCCCTTTCAGAGCTGTGCTACCTATACGCCTATCTACTTCTCAATTCCTTGTTGCCTTCTTACCATTGTTTTAAAGGGTCTTTTTCATTTCTTTTTCCAAGACCCTGGTCGTTGTCGGGCAGAATCGAATCGGGGACCTCTGGAGCTTAGTGCATGAGCCTCTACAGCATGAGCTAAAAGTCAACTGGCTGTTAGCTAAGACTGTAGAGCAGACTCATTAATTGCTCTCTAAGTGGTCTGTGTGCCTCTAGATGGGACAGAACACCACACCCAGAAGGTGTGTGGGTTACATTTGCACACTCTTCCATACTAAACTTATGGTTGGGACTCCCTCCCTCTGTTTGTGTGCAAAGCTCATTTACTTCCCTTATAAAAACACCATTTTCCTGTCAAAAATTGCAAAGTTACTCCACCAAAGCAAGAAGTGCTTTTGTTGGTGGTGGGAGTGGTTTGGTTGGTTTGTTGGTTTTTGTTTTTTGTTTCTTTTAAATCTGTACTGCTTTGAGACTAGACCATCACAAGGTTCCCTGATGTATCTGAAAGTTATTGTCCATCCAGATTGTGCAACCCTTGCTAATGGTGGGCAGCACTTATGCAAGTAGTCCCATTTAGTCAATAGAAATCTTAATATGCGTCATTGTTGCCCACTCTGAGTATGAGGTACACAAAGGGACACAGATTGTAAGGTCTAGGGGGTAAGGTTAATGTCTTTGCCGGGGCTCAATAAACAGTAATAATGACAGATTATAAAAATATTAATACAATTTTATACGTTTTTTATTTATACATTTGGTAGAAGCTAATGAAACAATTGACAGGGAGAAACTGTGGATGCAATTTCCCTTGATGCCAAAAAAGCTTTCAACACAGTACAGCCAAAAAGACAAATTAGTTAGGCCACTAAGCATATGTAGCACAGGAGTGAGCTACTTTTTCATTGAATGTCTATGAATGTCTGTTTTTGTTGACGGTGGTGGTGTTGTTCATGGGCTGAACGCTGAGCTCCTTTCTCAGTTTTTACTCCGGTAAACTCTCACTGAAATCAATAGGAGTTTGCCTGTACAAGGAATGATTAACAACCTAGTAAGGGTCTGAGGATTTGACCGTATAAACACAACAGACTAAGAACTGGGAACATATAGGTATTGTAAGTGAAGGGGTTTAAAGCATGCTTTTCCACACATTTCTACCAATCCACCTTAATCTTGACCTACAATCCTTCTGCTATTCCAGTCCACTATGTCTCTTAAAAACAGATATGGCAATCTCTGAAGATTGATTGAAGATAGACATCCTCTAGAGACTAGGTTAGATAAAGATCTACAGATTGATTTAAATGTGGGAGCTGAGACAGTTTTGAACCAAAGCCGCTGTAGCTGAAGGGCTGGTGTAGTAGATAATGTTTTCACCCCTCAGCTCATAGAGAGCCGAGAAGCCACCAACCCCCCCTGGGATGAGCTAGTTGAAAGCATAAAGAATTCACTTACATGGCCAAGATATAGTGTGCTTATTAGTGGAAACGGTTTGAAGTGAAGGGAAGTGACAACTGGAGTACCACATTGAAAACATTAGGATGGATTCTTTTTATGGATCAGTGACCAGGAAGGAGTTCAGTCCTAAGTGATTAAATTAGCTGCTGATACAAAATAAGAGGCAACATTCAGAATGACTGGACTAGATAAGTCATGGGGTCAGAGATGGTTTGTACATATCTAATACGTAGAGAATGTACTAATAAGATCCAGGAAGGAGAACCATTTGTGTGTTACTGAAAATTATTCTAGCGCTGGCAATTGACGGCTTGGCTGCGTGTGAAATACTGAGTGTTGATCTGATCGTTTTGTTTTAAAAAACATGTTGCAGAAATGAAAACCTGCAGTACAGCAGTCAAGGATCTTAGTTACTCAG